GCCCTTAGCAACTGCATCATTGTAGGGAGGCAGATGTAGGGGTATTACTCCAGTTTAATGCGCTTGTCTAGCGCCAAGGCCTACAGGTCTGGCTTCAATCAAGGTTCAGGCAAGAGAACAACAGATCCCGAGGCTTTTGATACCCATATGGGGGTGTCTTTACCTTATGATAAGGGTCCGAAGGCTCAGGAAGCTGTAGTTCTCTCTGCCGAGATGGTGAAGGCTCATCCTAAAGTCCCTCTAGCTCCAAGTGCCTCAACTCCTACAACTACTCCTGGCCCATTAAATCCTCCACCTGCAAGTCCAGCTGTGGTGGATGTTTTTGAATCTACCCCGTTTGTTCCGAAGAGGAACTAGGATCAAGTAATCTTATTCTTTTTGTAATGAAACAATATTTAGAATGATAGTTATGAATGATATAACCATGTTTCTTAAGCTGTGGCGCCTTAATTTTTCTTCGACTGAGTATGTTTGAATGCTTTTAATATTTTACACACTTTGTTGGATGTGATAGTTTTAAGGAAAGTACCCTGCCTGAGGGTTCCACATTTGTTTTAGTCCGAAGTAAAACTAAATAAGATGTGAAGAAGGGATCTCCTCTGACGATTTACCTGATAACAGAGGATAGTTTTTTCCTTTGGTGATTTAACCGTCAAGGGAACCCTTCTTAAAATGGATTTGTGTGAAGTAAGTATGTTTATACTTGTTTCTTTTTGTATTTTTTCAATGTGGGACAATCTCGTGGCTGAGGGGAGGTTTGCTGAGCTGGACACTTAGGGTCCAAAGCGAGTGAATTACTTACCGGCGCTGAGCCTGAGGGGAGGTTTGCCGAGCTGGACACTTAGGGTTCGAAGCGAGTAAATTACTCCCCCGCACTGAGCCTGAGGGTAGGTTTGCCGAGTTGGACACTTAGGGTCCAAAGCGAGTGAATTACTCCTCGGCGCTAAGCCTGAGGGAAGGTTTGCTGAGCTGGACACTTAGGGTCCGAAGCGAGTGAATTACTCCCCGGCGCTGAGCCTGAGGGGAGGTTTGCCGAGCTCGACACTTGAGGTCCGAAGCGAGTGAATTACTCCCCGGCGCTGAGCCTGAGGGGAGGTTTGCCGAGCTGGACACTTAGGGTCCGAAGTGAGTGAATTACTCCCCGGTACTGAGCTTGGGGGGAGCTTTGTTGAGCTATCGCATATATATATATTTTTCAAACAACTTGTTATAAGGCCGAAGACTCAAAAATGATAGGAGGCTAAGAAAGCGAGTAACAGTGGCTGGGAAGTTTCCTATTTGCTTATTTTGGAGACTTTCTTCCACTGAGACTCCCTTCTTGGTGACCAAATGTAGTGGATTACGCATATATTAACCACATTTCTTTTCTACTTCTATCCGATGTGGGACATAAGTTAGACTTTGTCAAAAAAAAGTCAGTGTAAGGAATGCCTCTGGTACCGGGATTGGCGCCCTTTAATACTAGTGGGCCCTCCTTACACTGCAGTCAACTATTTATATATTCCCATATATAACATAATGTAAAACATACTTTTTTATCGATGTGGGATAGAGAGCTTTAAATAGGCCATAACTTGGGTTCAAAAAAGAATCATTGTGAAGAATGCTTTTAAAAAAGAATCATTGTGAAGAATGCTTCTTAATAACTTGATTTTAGCATTGCTTTGCATAAAAAATGCATAATGCGTCTTGGCACACAAATATGCATAAAAATCGCATAATTATAGGGCACTAGTATGGCCCCTATTTTTATGGAAAGAAATAAATGAAGTAGAATTGTACTAAATATGATAGAAGCAATATAAAGAAAAAACCTGACTGACTGTGGGCATAAGCAGCCTTACTTGTGAAGAATTACTAGCAAAATTGACAAACTTATCTAATGGTAATACCTTTTAAGGTGTATTGCATTTCAAGGACGCGCAATGGGACGTCCGTCAGCTTCAGCCAAACGATATGCTCCCTTCCCCACTACTTCGGTAACCCTATAAGGTCCGGTCCAATTAGGTTCGAGTTTCTTTACATGAGCTGTCTCTTGCTTCAAAACCCAATCGCCTACCACAAAGCTCCTGAACCTGATGCGTTTGTTATAACTGTTGCGCAATTGTTGCTGATATGAAGCAAGCCTAATTGCTGCAGCATCCCTCTTCTCGTCCAGGAGATCGAGGCTGTGTTCGAGCTGCTGACCATTGTTTCCTTCAAGTAACAAGAATGTCTGAAGGGTTGGAATTGCTACCTTGGTTAGGATCACAGCTTCCGATCTATAAGCCATGGCAAATGGACTTTCCCTCGTGGGCCGCCGTGGAGTGGTTTAGTACGCCCAAAGCACCTGAGAGAGATTCTTGTACCATTTTGTTTTGAGTTTCTCCAGCTTCTTCTTTAAACAACTGAAAAATGGTTCGGTTAGTTATTTCAGCCTGTCCATTCCCTTCCATGCTCGGCGAAGAATTTTCTTATACTCTTATTGTCGAGGTTCTTACCATTGTCCATCATAATGACTTTTGGTACCCCAAACCGGCAAATGATGTTGTTCTAAAGAAAACTTTTTACCTGCTCATGAGTCACACTTAAGTAAGCCTCGGCTTCCACCCATTTTGTGAAATAGTCTGTAGCCAGCAGCACGTATTCCATTTGTTCCACGGTCTTGGGTAACGGGCTTACCATATCAATCCCCCATTGTGCGAACGGCCATGGATTTGCCATTGCATGTAAATCTTCGGCATATTGATGCTTTATTGGACCATGACGCTAACACTTATCACATCTCCAGGCGTACTCTTCAGCATTCCGGGCTAAGTACGGCCAGAAGTAACCTTAAGTTAGAACCTTATGTGCAAGGGATCTGCCCCAAGAGTGGTTGCCGCAATCTCCATCATGAATCTGTTTCAACACCACAAGAGCCTCAGTAAGGCTTAAACATTTCAGGTAAGGACCTGAGAATGATTTTCGGTATAACTGGTTGTTGATGGCATATTTAGCTGCGGTGAGTCTGAGCTTCCGCGCCTAATTTTTCTGGTTTAGAAGAGTTCCATGCTTGAGGTAGGCTTCCAATGGATCAATCCATCATGGTTCTCGCGGAATGACTGGAATCATCATTACTTCTTGCTGAGGGTTGATGCTGGGTTCGTTTAGGACATCAATTGGCATAATCTGAATCAGATCTTCATTTGTAGATGACGCTGCCGTGGCCAATTGATCTGCTTCAGCATTCTCAACACAAGGTACCTGGTGGAATTCGACTTGATCGAATCCTCGTGTAACATTCTCCATAACTTCTTTATATGCTTTCATCCTTTCCTCTTTGGGATGATACTGACCTGTCACTTGATTTATAACAAGCTGTGAGTCACTAAAAACTTTTAAACAATGTACCTGAAGGCTGCTGGCCAATTGAAGACCAGCAAGTAATGCCTCATATTCAGCCTCATTGTTTGTAGCAGGGAAATTCAAGTAAATGGACTGCTGCAACTTGGTACCCTCGGGTGTTGATATAACAACCCCAACTCCTGCACTTATTTGGTTCGAGGAGCCATCGACCCAAAGCTCCCACTATGGTTCAGGGAGTTCTGGCTCTTCGGGAGTGTCTTCATATTCTAAAAGAAAGTCTGCTAAGGCTTATCCCTTGTGCGACACCTTCAGCTCATGAGTTATGTCGAAGGAACTGAGCTCGATAGCCCATTTAGTAATTCTCCCAGATAGATCTGGCTTAGAGAATATACCCCGTATAGGATAGTTGGTGAGTACCACAATGCTGTGAGATTCAAAATAATGCCGAAGCTTCCTTTTGGCATAAACCAAGGCTAGGATGATTTTCTCCGCTTTGCTATACCATGTCTCCGCATCTATCATTGTCTTACTTGTGTAGAAGACTGGATGTTGAATCTCTCCTTCCTCTCTAATCAATGCTGCACTTGTCGTTATGCTAGAAATTGCTAAGTACATAATAAGAACCTCTCCGGGTTTTGGAACGGATAGAATTGGAGGTTCGGCCATATAACATTTCAACTGATTGTGGACCTCCTGCTATTGAGGTCCCCATATATCCTTATTCTTAGATCTTATGGCATCGAAGAATGGTTTACACTTATCTGATAATCGGGATATAAACCGGCTGAGGGCCGCGATCCGACCGGTAAGAACTTACACCCCCTTACGATTTTTTGGTTCCTAATTCTGCATGAGGCCTTAGCCTGAGCTGGGCTTACCTCTATCGCTCTTTTATTCACTATATGGCCGAGGAATTGACCTGTTGATACTACAAAGGAGCACTTAGATGGATTCAGCTTCATGTTGTACTTCTTCAGAGTATTGAAAACTTCCTGGAGGTGCTTTAGATGGTCTTGCTTCTTCACACTTTTGACCACCATGTCATCTATGTATGCTTCAACTGTCTTCCCTAACAAATTGTCAAAGATCTTGTTAACAAGGCATTGATAAGTGGCCCCGGCATTCTTCAGCCCGAAGGGCATGACCCTGTAACAATAAGTCCCCTTTTCTGTAATGAAATACGTTTTCTCTTCATCTTCTTGGTTTATAGGAATCTGATTGTATCCCGAGTACGCATCAAGGAATGTCAGCCTCTCGTAGGCAGTAGTAGCATCAACCATCTGATCTATCTTTGGCAGAAAGAAGCTATCTTTAAGGCAGGCTTTGTTAAGATTGGTATAGTCTACACAAACCCTCCACTTTCCATTCTTCTTTTATACGACCACCACGTTTGACAGCCATTGTGGATATTGCACTTGTTGAATGAAACCTACTTGTAACAACTTGTTCACTTCTTCAACTATAATGCGATTGAGTTCGGGGGCAAACCTTCGGTGTTTCTGTTTAACCGGTTTGAACTTTGGATCCACCTTCAGGCTATGGCAGGAGACTAAAGGAACAATTCCTACCATGTCCAAGTGATCCCATGTAAAAGCATCTGCATTGCTCCGAATGACATCAATTAATGCTTCCTTTTCTTCGGACGTGGAAGAAAAACCTCAATAAGTGACCTTCTAAGGGTCGTCCAGGATAACTTCTACGGCTTCGAGGGTCTCCTTGGTAGGCTTCGCAATTTCCTCTTTGTCATCCACCTTAAGATACTTGGGAAGAGGGCTCTGTAATTGCTATTTGAGTATATTTCTGGAAGTCATACCTGGTTGAGGCTGTCTAGATACCTTCTTTGCTTCAGCCTGTGTCAGCATATAGCATTCCTTCACAGCGACTTGATCGCCCCATAGGTTAATCACCTCTTTTCTGTCCGGAGACAAGCACCGCATCACCTGATGAAGGGTGGACGAAACTCCTCTCATCTGGTGTATCCAGCCTCTTCCCATGATAAGATTATAAGAAGGATGGATCTCTGTTAAGACAGAGGTCTCCTTTAGAGTTCTCTTCGCCGCAGTTACGGATAAGTCTATTACTCTAAGGGGATCTACTCTTGTGCCATCGAGCCCCATCAATAGGCTAGAGGTAGGTCGAATAGATGATGACAGGATCTCTAGCTGCTCAAAGACCGTCTTTGTGATGATGTTGGCGCTACTCCCTAGGTCTATCAAAACCCTCTTGATCATGCAATTTGCCACTAAAAGACTGATGACCAATGGATCCTCACGGGGGAGCTGAACTCTGGATAGATCACCATCACCGAATCCAATACTGATGTTACCTAAAGTGATAGCATTGATTGAGGATATCTTCCTGAGCTTATGGGTTGCCCTCAATCTGGATCTGTATATCACCTCGGATTCTTGATCATCTTCAGATCTGCCATTTATTGCATGAATGACCTTTAACTAAGTTCTTTCTACCTTGCAAGGATAAAGCCCGCGGGGCTTCACATACTCCTTTGTCATGAGGTAATCTGCCAACTCACCTCTGGCTATCATATTTTTCACTTATCGCCTAAGGGATCTGTAATCATTGGTTGAATGCCCATAATCTCGGTGATAAGTGCAATACTTGCTTTTGTCCCTCTGCTCCAAGGGTTGCTTCATTGGCTGCAGGGCTGTGAACTCCATCTTATTCTCTTGGAAGAGCCAAGCCAAGGTAGTTCAGAGAGGTGTAAACCCTTCCTCTATCCTTTGCCGCTTCTCAGGTGCCTAGGTGATCGGTGTTGAGGCTCATTGACTTTTCTGAATCTTTGACTTTGGAATTCTCTCTCGAGGCTTGTTCTCTACTATCATGAGGGTGGTGTGCTGCACTCGGTGGGCTACATTTTCCTCGAGCCGAATGTAGATCTGGGCCCTGGCATTAAGAGTCTGCATGTCGGGAGGAGAATACTTGACCAAGGAAGTGTGAACTTCATCCCCTGAATCATTGCAAGTTTAAATGTTTCTATAGCAGTCGTGGGATGACAGTCTGCTATTTCCGAGGCTTCCATGTTGAATCTAGATAAGAAATCCTACAGTGTTTCCCCCTTCTTTTGCCTTACTGTGAAGAGGCTAGCAATACTCTTCTTTTGCTTCTTATTTCCACAGTATTGTGCTAGGAACATGGTGCACAGAGTTATGTAATCCGGGATGGACTTATGTGGCATATTCCTGAACCACTCTAGTACTGCTCCTGTCAAGCTGGTAGGAAAAAATCTAAACATCCAAGGGTCATTACGGTCATCCAAAGCCATCTTTTGGTCGTAATGATCTAGGTGCCGAGAAGGATCTCCCGTACCATCAAACTGAGTAAAAGAAGGCATGGTAAATTTCTTGGGCCTCTCAACCTTATACACATCGTCAATGAAAGGAGTTTTGACCAGGGAGTTTTTGTGCTCTTTAGCCATCTCAACAGGTGTCTGAATCTTTAGGAGTCTTTTCTCATCAAAGGCATCCTGAACACCTGCACCATCTGGAATTCCATTGGACCACACCGTGAGCTTATGGCTAGACTCGACTTACTCGTCCTGCATGGGACGGGGGATGTTGTCTGAGGCACAGCCTCGGACCTTGCCCTCTGTTGTTGCTAAACCTCGTTGGGTCATGCCCCATTAGGTGGAAGCCCGTTAACTGAAGGAATATTCTGATTCGGGGGTGTTGCTGTGTCACCTAGTGGTGGCGGTGGTGCCAACTGAGCCATCGCCGTTTGCAGAGTGTTATTCTGCTGTTGAAGCAAGGCGATCTGAGCCACGCTAGCTTCATTTGCTTGACGAAGTACGTCAAACTGGAGTAAAAACTCTTCACGCATCTTCTGCATCAACTTCATCTATTGATCTGTTGAAGATCCTCCGTTCGACATTCCGAATGATAGTTACAGGATTCACTTGTGAAACAAGAGTAGGAATATATTTGCACACGTTCTGACAGACGGCGCCAAAGTGTAGATACAAAATTCCGCTCAACCAATAACGATTAAGAAAAATAATACAACACACTCAAGAATAGTAAAAATAAACAAGAACAATGTACAGAGAAGTATAGAATTGCTTGGATCTTTTTATTGGAGGTTTGGGCCTCTATTTATACACAAAAATTGGTAGAATTAAGGTAGGACTCACGTTGATTGTCCTCCAATTCTTCTCATACATGACTTTCTTTGCAAATAGAGTTCTTTTTATTGTATAATATTTCCTACGTAGAACTTGCTTTGTATAGAACTTTCCTTCTGTGTTGAATCTTTTGCTTAACAAGACTGGATAATATTTAATTGTACTTGGGCCGGATGCAACTCGGTTTAAATGACTTGACCAATGGGCTGGAACTTCAACAATAGTGACGTTGGGCTGATTAATGTTTTTACCTGGCCTTGGAGGTCCAATATAAATGATATTGGGTTAAAGAATAATGTAATTTGGGATTGATCCGGATGGGCTTTTGAAATCTACCAAATGTAGATTTATAAAGTGATGACGTGTTCAATTTTTATTGGAGGGAGATTCTTCCCTCCAAAATAGACATGCCTTTGATTTAGAGCAACGACAATCTTCTGTTCGAACGCCAATAATTGAATATAGTAATTGGCACTTGAAACGAAGGTTGATGTTCTTTTAGATTATCAATTTTCTAATTACTCAAAGTCTTAGGCCTTAAATCTTGAATTTTCATCACCCTCTTACTCTCTCTCTGAATCCTGATTAAGTCTATTTGTACAGCTAGTCTATTAGCCTGCTTGTTTTTTTATTACCCTTTTATTCGGTGACAGGGTTTCACAATGTACTTAAATTTTTATTAAAAAAAATCAATAAATATAGATTGTTCAAATCAAAAGGCAAATAAAAAAAAAAATGATTGTCAAATAATATGCTAATCAAAGAGTAGTAAAAGAAAGATAAATACGTGAAAAATAAAAATATATATATATTGATTGATAATATTTTCACCAAAATAAAATTACAACTGTCTTCGGCTCTTTATATTATTTTGAATGTGAGATAGACATTGAGTTGTGGAAAAATAAAAAGAAAAAAAATAAAATAAAAAGAAAGAAAAATAGGAGAATTAAGATTCGATTAATCATGAACAAAGGGAATGCAACTTTAAAGGAATTTAATTAGTAAAAGTGAAAGGACAAAAAGGGAAAAAGATAATTTTAATAATTAAAAATTTTAGGGGAGTGGAGGGCATACTATCAAATTTCTTACATATATATATAAAGATGTAAAACTGTTGGAAAAATATATAATTTTATATATTTTTGTTCCTAAATTATAATTTTATATTTTCAACAGTGATCAAGTACAAAAGGGCTGTTTGTATTTGATGCAGATTGCGAATGTCTATATTGCCCATTGGAAATGGGATTTTCTGTCATGGAAAGTATCTCCTACTTTCCTTTTCATAATTGTTAGAGGGACCTTTCCTTATTTGTTAGATTTTGTTATGCAACTTAATTATGCCTTTCTTTCAACTTTCCTTAGGTTTCGTTATGCAACTTAATTAATTATGCCTTTCTTTCAACTTTCTTTATGTGTTAGGTTTCGTTATGCAACTTTTGTATTATATTTGGACTTGAATCCTCTAAGTTATCCTAAATTGAATTTTCTATAGAATGACATGTGTCATTTAAGATATATCTCTAATTTATTTTAAATCACTTCAACTAATTTAATAAAAGTTAGGAAACTGCACGTTTTAAAATAGAAAACCTTTAAAATACCTTCACCATTTATATTTCGAGTAAAGATACTTGCACCGATTTATTGCAGTGAATTACCTAATCGAATATTTAATATATGTAAGTGGAGGGCACCACTCCTTTATTTATGCAAAAATGGATCGATTAAAAAAAATAGGTCTGACAATTCATTACAACAAATCACATAAATAAGAAAGTAGGGCCCTCCATTTACATGTACTATGCATAAATAACTAAGAAACATTCGGTGCAACAATTCGGTGCCAGTATCATTACTCTTATATTTCAGTTTAAATCTAAATCTGAATTTGCATAAAAATGCATATAGTTATTACCAACCAAAGATTTAGTATTTCTAAATAATGAATATCATGGCAAACTATGCTCAAATCTTAAATTTTACAAAATTCATCTAATTGTATACTATTAAATTAAAAACCTACTATTCAAGTTTCATTAATCAAATCATCTTTATCCAAGCCAATACTATTATTTCAAAAAGAGGGTGAGCAACTTTTTTTTTGGGGAAAAGAGGAGAGATATTATAGGAGAGAGATGTTTACGTAAAACTTTTTATCTTAAAATAGTGTAGTTTTTAAAATTTTATTAGATTAGTTGATGTGGTTTAATATAGGCCGCAGATATATTCGCGTCATTATGTAGAAAATTCAACTTATGATAAGTTAGAGAAATTTTAACTTAGAGGATCCAAGTCCATTATAAATACCTCCTCTATGTTCTGTTAGGTTTTCATGCAATTAATAACTTTTTTTCAGAGTTCTCTTGGCTTATACTTTCTGGATTCAAAGTTGATTTATTTATTTATTTTTTTCAGTTAAAGGGTAAGCTTGTATAGATGTAAAAAATGTACAAGAGGGTCCTATCCTATAAGATAGGAGCAACAAGTTGCACAAGGCAGCAGCAGAATCCCAGCAAAATACAAATGCTAGGAACCAGTCCTAGCAAGCAAAATACATAAAAGGCTACAGAACTAGACTTCTACAAGTTCAAGTAAACCTAAAGCAAAACAAACATAAGAAGCAACCATCCAAGCAAGCATCTTCCAGTAGACACTTCCATTTAAAGCGACCAAGTTTAAGGGATAGTTAGAGCCTGAGCACAGGTAAAGCTGCATCCATCCAAGAACAGTTTTGCAAGTCTTCAAGTCTCCTAATATTTCTCAGATCAGAAGCATTCTTCAGCTTAATTGAGGCTAATCTTCCTTTTAAACATATCTTAATCTAAGAAATGACTAAGGATGAGGAAGAGGATGTGTTCCTGAAGGCCCTATTATTTCTTTCCATCCATAGAAAGTAGACAGTAGCAGAGAGTAGTAACTTATGCACCAGAAAATCATTAGCACTCCAATGAGCAGAACACCATAAGATCAGTTCTTTCCAACTAGATAGCTGAATGTACAACCCAATTGTGTGTTGAATGAATGACCACACCACCTTTGAGAACTTACACTAGAAGAATAGATGGTCCAAGGATTCATTGTTGGCTAGGCAAAGAAAGCAAGCATTGATGTGATGTTTATGCTTCCTAGGTTTTCTGTCAAGAGTATAGAGTCTACCTTTTGCTGCTAACCAAGCAATAAAGCTATGCTTGGGAATATGATGTTTAAACCAAATGGTTTTATGCCATGGGAAAATGAAAGTGGGAGGGAGGAGGTATTTGATTGTATGAGAAAGGGAGAAATTGCAGCTAGGTTAAGGTAACTATAAAACTGTATCAGTATTGGTGGAAGGGTTAGATAGTTCATTTAGTTGAGTGTGAAAGTTCTGTGATTGAAAGAAGGGAATGTGACCAAGTGAGTCAGGTACAACCCAACGATTCAAGGAAATTAGCCTATCAACTTTGAGTCTCAAGTCCAGTTGAAGAATTTCCCCATCATTCAAAGTTGATTTATTGTTACAAGGTAAGAAACTTATGAATTTTGGGCTTATATTGATTACAGTGTTGTGCTAAAAAAAAAAAAATTAAATAAAATTAATACCCAAATTATGTATCATGATATAGAGTAAATTGTAGAATTATTCGATATTTCGGGGTACTTTTTTGATCCATATGCTCATATAAACAGGAAGCCCTTCGTTTCTGCTTCGCTACCTCAACATGGCATTAGTGATCATTCAAAACCTAAAAAGCATAGTAGGGATGTCTAATGCGGATAGTAAGTTATCCACAGCCTGCAAAGTTATTTATTTATTTATTTTTTCTTATACCTTTACATTACATGATTTAAAAAGTATTTACTAATAAATAAACGTTATATAATATCATTTCTTTTTATACATGCACACAAACATTGTGGAAAGTGTAATGCCATATTTCAGAGCTCTTTTTATTTACTTTGTACGTGGATTCAAAGTTATTTGTTGTTAATTGTTCATTTGTGATCGTTGGTTTGACTTGAAGGTTCTAAATTCCATGAACTCCATTATGGATGACAGTTCTCTCAGTAGATGTGGATTTTATTTGACTCTTACAATTATCTAAGGAATGTGGATAAAGCTGCTATTTTTTTAGCATTGTTTTATGTGAAATTAGTGATATAATCTGTCATCCTAGCTTTACTATCTTCACCTTGTAACTGTTAGGGATATTAGTTTTCTGATTGTAAAATACTTCTATTTAGGGAATGGAAAAAAAGTTTTAAAAATATTTAGAAATAATTAAACAACAAGTATAATTATATCAGAGAAAGATAGTTTTGACCTGTTAATGGAGAGGCACACAATGTGCTGTCTTAAATCCTTTGAAGTCTCCCTTATGTGGTGGTAATTACAATCCACCATAGGCTCCATGCTACAACTCTAATTATTCCCTATGCGCACGATCACATAGAAATTTTCAACAAGTTTTGATGTGAGGTTGCCCCAAAATTGAATATAAGAAATAGAGAATATATATGGTAGGAGTAAACTGTATAATTGCAAAGGAATATGATTGCAGAGAGAATATGTAGGTTTTTTGAGAAAAGAAGAGAATTTGATTGATTGATTTTTTCCACTACTCACAACCTATATATTTATAGACTTTATCACGTCTTTTTGTTTGGCTAAATCACTATTAACTCTTATTAACCGTTAGTCTTTAATTAATTACTTTAATTTCCTTAAGGTTATTATTATTATCACATGCAGTTAATTAGTTATTTAGTTAAGGACTTTTGAATTTCTAACCGATAGGAATTCTAGAAGTCAAAGTTTTAAAACTTTTCTTGTAACTCAAACAAAAACTACGATCTAATCTATATGGAAGTATGAAGTTTTTAACTTGTTATATATTAAAAAAGGGAGAGAATGCTTTTCTTGTTTGGTTTTGGCTTGAAGTTTAAAGTGCTTAATGCTTAGCTCAACCTAGGAAAAAGAATATTATTTATTGTTCAAGTTTAAGCTTGATTTTATTTTGTTTTGACCATTTTGATTCACTTTAGAGGCAATCAACCTACTGAGCTCCAAAAAAATAAATGCAATGAATGTCCAAAACCCAAAACTTTAAAGCTGCATATGCATGTTAACAACCACCATGTTCTAAAAGCCTAAGCTATTAGAACGGGAGTAATTTTAAGATTTAAATCCTTTAACACGCCCTTCACGTGTGGCCTTCTTTTTGTCCAACTCGTATTTTTTAATTTTTAATTAGGTGATGGTGATGTTTGAACTCGAGACTTTTGATTTTGATACCATGTTGACAACCTTGTACTCTAAAAGCTTAAACTATTCGAAATGTTACTTTAATATTTAGATCCTTCAATTGGACATACATAACTAGGTTTTGGTAAAGAACTTCAACAAATGAACACAAGTAAATGAATTTGGTGGGACAGTACTTTGATTTTGCAAGGTGTCTTTTAGCATGCCAAGTGAATTTTTACTGAATCATCCAGATTGATCTGTACATATATAAACATGGAGTCCTTTAATATTTTACCACCTAAGCCTAGCAGAAGTCATCACCAATAAAGCCACAAGACGTTATAAATTCCTTCATTTTACATTCAGCAGAAAAAATGTCATCTAACATAATTGACGCAGTTGGTAAGTTATATTTTATTTTTATTTCCCTATTACATGATTTATATACGGTGAGTTATGGTGATGTTAAATATATTTGTCCATCTTCAATCTGTATCAGAGCTTAAAAGAACATTGCGTGATGTCCACCCATCACATTACATCTTCAAGATACAGTCTTTCTCTATGCTTCTGAAAAATATTGGAAATTACGAATCAGAAGTTTTTGAAGCTGGCGGCTATAAATGGTGTGTTTTTCTATTTTCTTTGTTCCATACTCTTTAGTCTATACATGTTCTCTATATCAAAACCAAATAAATCACATTTTTGTATTTTTGGGTTTTCAGGAAATTGTCTTTCTATCCAAATGGGAATAAGAAAAGAAAGGGGAAAGATCAGTACATTTCACTATACCTCGCAGTATCCGACACAGCTAATCTTCCTTCTGATTGGGAGATCATTGCGAACTTTAAATTATTCGTCTTTGATCATTTACGTGACAAGTACTTAACTATCGAAGGTAGTTTCTCTACTACGCATTCAATTTTCTGAAATCTGATATAGCAACATAATATTTAAATAGAGAGATATCCATATATTATGTAGATGCTGAACCAGTGAGGCGTTTCCATGGGAATAAGACAGAATGGGGTTTTGAGAAATTTCTCTCTCTCAAGAAGTTCCAAAATCCTTCAAACGGGTACCTCATCAATGACACCTGTGTATTTGGCGCAGAGGTTTTCGTTATGAAATATTCAGGCAAAGGCAAGTGTCTGTCCATGACAAAGTTACTAAGTAACAAAATGTGTCTGTCCATGACAAATTTACTAAGTAACAAAATTTACACTTGGAAGGTTGACAAATTTTTAGATTTAATTGAAGAATATCTACGCTCCGACGAGTTTAAGATTGGAGGGCGGAGCTGGTATGATCAAAATTTTTGTGTTTTCGTTTTTTTTTTTTTTAAAAAAACTTGGATGTTCTCAATTTGAAACTGGCTCGTTTGATTTCTAAGGCAAGCTATTATTTGTTTCTTTTTATAATGAATTCAGGAAGCTCTCTCTCTATCCCAAAGGAAATTGGAAGTCAAAAGGCAAAAGCCTATCTCTGTATCTGAACCTAGTTGATTCTGAAAAACTGTATGCAAAATCAAGCTGAGGATAAGGGATGAAGTCAATGGTAAACACTTTGAAGGGGAATGTAAGAATTGTATTTCTACTCTCAGCTGCTCCGGATAAACTTGTTTACTGCAAGAACTTTTTCTTTTTAGAGGGATTGAAACTTTTTTTTTGGTGATTTTTTATTTTCTTTTTGTTAAATTTCCTTCAAAATTTATCTTTGCAGCTAGTGTCTGTTTCTGTGCCAGGATTCCAAGCTGGGGATTCATAAGCTTCATGCATCTAAGTAATCTCTTTGACAAATCAAAGGGCTTCAAGGTGAAAGATACTATAATTATTGAGGTAGAAATTGTAACGTTGTCCGAGACTAATTCCATTATGTCTTCGAAGGAGAAGAAACAAGACAAGTAGAGGTGGGTGAAGGAATTACAAATTATAGCTGGCAATATTGCAGTGGATTTTAATTGATTTTATTTCCTTTTATCATTTAATTATCAGTTTATGATTTCTTTATCTTATTTGAGATTTTGTTTCTCTTCGTTAAAACTGTTGGAAATAGTGGCCTAATTACACACACAACACTATACTATTTGGAAGAGAATAGAAATGGCGGAAAAATACTTTTTATTTCACTTGATAGAAAATGAGTACAATGCATGGGTTTATATAGGCTTCAAAACATAAATGTAAATGAAACTTAAAACCCCACTAACATATCATTTAGTAGGCAAAACTCTCACTAACCCACTAACATGACCATTTAGTAGGCAAAACTCCCACTAACCCACTAACATGACCATTTACTAGTTGTAACTCTCATGCCTCTTTATTTTACATAACCTTAACTCCCACTAAGACAATTTACTACCCACTAACATGCTAAATTAACACATGCATCATGGATAACAAATACTTGAAAATACTAAATACTAAAATCAAGTTTATTTTCAACACCCCCCTTTAAACTTGATTTTGTAACTTGAAAAACCTTCTTATTAATCTTGGGGGCTTGATCAAAAGTTCGATAGTTGATCTTCAATTCCACCTCCTTCAATAGCTTCAATCTTCTTGGCCATTTCCATTGATGTGTAAGGCTTGTGAAACTTCTTCAAATGCTTGTTTGATGTATAATCATATATCATCCTCTTTATACAAGCACACCACCGATCTTTTTTCTTCTTAAATTTTTTATGGATCTTCAATTTCACATATACTTCTTCTTTAGAGTCAAAAAATAATTCCATATTCACCCAACCTGTATCAATTACAAAATTCTCCAAACTATTTTTTTAAAAATAATATGAGAATTTCTTATCATCCTGGGCTTCAATCTCATACTTCTTTGGAACAACTTTCTTTAAGAGAAGTTCATCATTCTCCACAAAATAAGCATTATTTGATGAATATGAAGAAATAATAATTTCATCAAATAAGTCAAATATAACTTCTTTCAAGGTGGAATTTGTAACCATACCTGAAGATGTTAATTCACCAACTTGAACTTTTGCCTGTTCTTTAGCACTTCCTTCTTCTAAATCTTCTATTTTCACTTCATCCTCCTTCACTTTTTCTTACCTCTTCCTTATTCACCATTTCAAATTCTCCTTCAACTTTTGAATCTCCAAAATCTTCAACTTCTTTTGCACGATACACCTCTTCATTCTCCACAACTTTGTCTTCAAGACTTTCATAATCATCTTTTGTAAACTCATCATTCTCAAAGCATTGTACCCAATACTCCATGGGTAGTGATTCACCTCTATGATTGGAAACGATGGTCTCGAGCATCTTCCAAATACAACTTGGAGTTTTGGACTCTCCAAAATACTCCCAAATTTCTTGATGTATTGCCTTTTGCAACACTACCAATGCCTTATCTTCTTTCTTTTCATGAAGCTTGTTGGACATGCCATTCTTTGGCTCTTCTCCAACAACATCCCACAAATCGCATGCTTTGAGGTATGAAGTCATGATGATTCTCATTCTCTTGTAATTAGAGACCATCATCTTTTCACTAAGAAAATACATTTTCTCCCCTTCATCATCATCAAGGAGAAACATGTTTTTCTCAAATGTTGAACCTTCTAGGATCAACTTCGTCTAGCCTTTAGGATCGTCTAGGCTCTGATACCACTTTGTTGGAAATAGTGGCCTAGTTACACACACAACACTATACTATTTGGAAGAGAATAGAAATGGCGGAAAAATACTTTTTATTTCACTTGATAGAAAATGAGTACAATGCATGGGTTTATATAGGCTTCAAAACATAAATGTAAATGAAACTTAAAACCCCACTAACATATCATTTAGTAGGCAAAACTCTCACTAACCCACTAACATGACCATTTAGTAGGCAAAACTCCCACTAACCCACTAACATGACCATTTACTAGTTGTAACTCTCATGCCTCTTTATTTTACATAACCTTAACTCCCACTAAGACAATTTACTACCCACTAACATCCTAAATTAACACATGCATCATGGATAACAAATACTTGAAAATACTAAATACTAAAATCAAGTTTATTTTCAACAAAAACATCTCATCATAATTCATTTTTGTATTGTTGGTCCTCCATGTGGAATTCCAAACATGGTGAATAATGATCCAACTTGGAAGAATTTAATAAATGATAGATTTAAAATGATTTTTTTTTTTTTTTTGGTTACCGATAAATCAATGGACTGGAGCAAAGGGGTGTGATATATATTCACACGTATCATGAATTCATTATTTTTGACAGAATTATCCTTACAAATAATCTTTCACTTCTTGATTTGAATCTTCCGTTTTGAATTTTTTTTTTAAATCTTTTTTAAAAAAAATCCTTAATATACAGGCACTCATGCATGGAATCATCAATTTTTTTATACTGAACTAATATGTAACCCGTTGACAAATTGCAAACCTTAACATCCTTTTCACAAGCTAAAATGTATGCACTTGCTACTATTTGAATTGAAAAGAAAAACGTTTAAAAAAAAAAAAAAAAAAAACCTTATTGACAAATTAAAACCCTAAAACTCTCGTTTTTGCTCGATTAGGGTTCCATGAGGTGGTTGTCAACTGCTATAGAACCCTAAGGCAGAACCTTTTTTTCTTTTCTTTTCCTTTTCCAAACAAAAAAATCCAACTGGTGAAAGGTTGGTTTAGCTATGGTCTTTTTTTTTAAAAAAAATATCTAGTTTATTTTTTTTTTTTAATTCAATTTCCTTATTTTGAATATTTATGTAATTTTATTTAATAAAAAAATAGGTTGTTTGTTGCTTAAAAAAAATGAGAGTGGGTATTATGAAAAATAAAATAAAAAATTAGAGGGGGATTTAGGGCACTAAGGCCTAAAATATATAAGTTTGATAAAATGAAAAGAAAAGTTACATGGAAATAGCAAGAAAGGAAGAGATATAGAAAATGAAAAGAAAAGTGAAGTGAAATATAAAATAATAAAATAATAAAGAATTAGTAATAAAATATGTTTCAAAAATGATTAAGTTTTTAATTAATTTAGACCTTTTGAATTACTATTATTAATATATGATGAAAAACAACTAGGAATGAAAGTCAAGTAAACTAAAAATTTATCAATGATAAAATTGTTAGTGAACTCTAATTCTTTGAAACCTAGTAAAAAATTGTTGTTATCTCCAAATATAGATGAAGTTGTTGGGTAAAATAATATCTATGGAGCTGTTGGATAAAACAATAGCACAAAATAAAAAGACATGCTTATTTTCCCATAGAAAACATTTTGGAGAAAATAAAAGGTTATAAGAATCCTAATTTTCAAAAAATTATTTAATTTAATCCTAGTTTTTTAATTTAATGAAATTATTTAATTAAAGGAGACATTTTAAACTGTAACATTTTTAATAATAATAAAAAAATCTACCCAATTTTGATAGCAGAAAAAAAAAATTATATATATATATAGAAATATACCTTTTGATTAATTAACCCTAAAACTTGAAAACCCCTCACTCTTTCATTTTAGGTAGCCAACAAATACGTTCAATTTGTAAGGTCAATTTTGGGTACCAATTACATGGTTTAAATGAGGTGCAGATGAGAGAAATACACAAACTTGTGCGAAATTGAGTGTAATGGATCGGTATTTCGCGATCCGATCCAAAAGTTTAAGCTATTAGGTGGGTTGAACACCCAACTCATCCAATGTGAGATAAGTTCCTTCTAGTTATATTCTCTTCCATCCGAACTCACAACGCCCTCGTTTTGGCTCAGGCTACCTTACTTACCCCGGGTCCAAACCCAAAAGCCATTTTAAGCCCGGGTGGTTGGCGTGACACCGGATCAAGAATTAAGTCTAACTCTAATACTAACTGTAATGGGTGGGTGCTTATCAATCCAAAAACGTAAGTTATTAGATAGGACTAACACTTGACTCATATATATTCATTCACTTTTTCATCCGAATCTGATACGGAAGAAACTCCCCCTTGTTACATTTATGTACTTGAAGTCAAATGACAACCAGGATTGTGTGTGATTTGGGACAAAGATATATATAATAAAATATAATAAACATAATAGATGTAACTTGTAAGAGATATAGTTTTACTAAAGTAATGGGTTCAAACTTTGACTTTGCCTTGAAATTATCAATTAAGAATTAATTGTCTAGCAAAAAGGATATGCATAGTTATATAAGTAAAATGTAAAATGTATAAAACACCCTCAAAATATACTTACAGTGCGTATCATATTCCTCATATGTAAAACACTCTTAAAATTTTAATTTGGTGCAAATAGATCATTCTAACAAATTTAAATCATAAGTTGACTAAATTACCCTTACTAAACTATTTTATAAAATATATAAAAATAAATAATTTTGTAAAATGATCGAAAAAAACACTATTAGAAGATGCCCCTCACACGCAAAAAACATCTTTAAAGTTTTAATTTTGTACAAATAGGTCCATCTGACAAATTTAAACCTTAAGTTCTCTAAATTACCTTTACTAAACTATTTTATAAAATATATAAAAATAAATAATTTTGTAAAATGACAAAAATGACACTATTGGAGGACGCCGCAATGGACAAGTAAAGATAAAAAAAAAAAAGTATAAAAGAAAAATAAAGATAAAAATAAAAAATAAAAAATGAAATTAAGTGCAAACAAAAGAAAACAAATATGCTCCAAATTCTGAAAACCAGTGCACACTAATATTGGGATTTTTTTTTTTTGGTTTAAAAGTGTTGGTACGAAAAAATTAATAATAATGAAAAAAATAATTTAGTGGAAAATAGTAAACTAAAATATCAAAAAATTCAAATCCTTATTCTACGTACAAATTCTCAAAGTTTTAAAAAATAAGTTTAGATATATATATATATATATATATATATATAGAAATTTTTTTTTAAAAAAAAAAAAAAAAG